TCCTCACCATCGGCTGCGCTCCTTGCTCCATCGCTTATTTCTGCTGTTAAAAGTGCTGAAGTAGTGGGACTTCCTCCGTGTCTTCTTTTGTTTCTTCTTTGCTTCATTATCGTCGGCTAGAGCGTGGGTGTGCATGGTCTTCGTCTATTCTTCATCCTCAGCTGATAGACGTTACACGTGTGTGGATGGTAAGCTCACTCCTTCTCCTTTTTGCTAGCTGATGATTTCTATCCTCCTTTTATCAGCACTGTTGTGATTTTTGGGGGGAGAATATTTGATTGGGATTGTTTTTCGATTAAGGCTGTATATTAATTCATTATGATGCCAGGCTAAATCTTGATTGTAGAGTTACATGTTTGAAGTGTCAAGATGTTGGTTATGACTGAGTGAATGATCAATGCTCTCAAATTGTTTGAAAAATTGCTTGAGAGAAGGATTTGTTAGAAATAAATTTGTTTAATTGTATATTAGGGTCTGGAAGAATTATGGTATACTACTTAAAAAGCTATGTGTATCATTACATATGGAAGTAATAAGTTGGAAATATTGGTTAGGATTTTCGGGTACCAAAAATGGATAATATCTAATTAAATATTGGTTGTGGTGCTTCATTAAACATTAAGAAGGCATGAATGAATAGGATGGTTTTCTTCTTGCTCTTGTTAGGTTATGGTTAATTTATATATAGAAGTTTAGTGCAGTATATATATGATTATTTGCATCTATAGGTAAGTGGTGCTAAACTTGAGATGTCTAAGAGAAAAATTTGATGGAATATAAGTTGTTCAATTTTCATATTATTAGTTTGGAAGGGACATGCATAGAGAGTAATTTGAGTCATTAAATTGAAATCCTAAAGTACCTAAGGTAAATTATGTTAAAGTAATAAATGATGGTTGTGACATTTTACTATGTTTTAGAAAGGTACAAAAGAGGTGGAAGTATTTTCTCTTGTTTTAGTTGGATTGTTGATAAATTAGTTAATTGATAATGAATTTATTGATTGAATATTTTAGGTTGTGATGTTGTTTGGAATTGAATTTGAATGTTCACCAAGTGTTGGAAAATTATTTGATAAATGATTTTAGAATTATGATTTATTTTCAAGAAATTAAAAGCATAACTAGAATTAAAGAGAAAAGTTAAGAAATACAAGCTTTAAAATTTTGGAAAACCTTTAGGTGAATGGGTAGTATCTCAAATAATTTCTTACAAAGTGTTTATAAAATTTCTTTATTTAAATTTTTACGTTATTCTTTCATAAGTTGTATAAATATTCTTGTTAATTTTAATTTTAGGATTCATACAATTTTTTTTACTTACCTAACTTTTATATTAACTAGTTATTATGGAATCTACTTTATATTCATTAAGAATTATGCTATTGTTAAAAGAATATTTAGATCCAGTACATTATTAACAAAATATTTATTCTAAACATTTTTGTTGTTTAAATTTTATGACTTATATTGCAGATATAAAAAAAAAAGGTGATTCATGTATGGAGAAAATTGAAAAAAATATGTGATAGTTGAATATTATATTTTGAAAAGAATGGTTTTCAATGAATGTTTCAACTCCATGCATACTTGATTTTAATTAGGGGGACTGAGTTTAGAATGCTGGATGCTAACGATAGTTTCATTAGCTCTTGGTGCGGCATGGTATACCTAGTTAGTACGGTGTTTGGACGAGGTGTTAGTCCCGTGTGCAAGCCAACGTGGAATGGAAGGATGAATATTTGTGAATATTGTACTCATGCTTATTTCGTAGGCTTAGTGCTTACACTTGTTTCGTGGCTTTACACTGCACTTGTTGGTTATTTACTCTCGTAGATTGTGTGTTCATGCTTGTTAATCATTCTAATAAAGTCCTACTAAAAGTGAATTTTTAAAAAATTATTATTTTTTTTAAATTTATTCTATTAAACAAACTATTGTTTGATCGTTTATGATTTCATATGGTAAATTCCCTGCTATATTGATTTTAAAAATTTATTGTTTTATATTAGTTATTCACAAACATTTTTTTAATCATTATTTGAATTCCTTTTATATATTTTTATGACTTGTACAATTCTTGATAACCTATAGAACTCCAAATTATTGGTTTAGTTCATAGTTATACTGTTAAGTTACTTTGTCATTTAGTGTTAATAAAAAATAGGTTTTAATATTCTATTGGTTTGTTGTAAACTAAATTTTATTAATTATTACTTTTACATATTTTATTTATAAATTTAATTGGAATGCTACTCATCTAAATTTTTTTTTTGGTTTCAGATAATGTAGTTGACTTTGCATCTCCTGCTAATGATTGAGGGGCTCTATTGTTTTTGGACAGTGGAAGTATGCTTCAATCATTTATTTTAATGTAAATATTTATTATATTATGCAAAGATAGTTAGTGCTCCACATATACTGTAGTTAGCTTCTGGTCTTATTTTGTTATCATATAATTTGCTAGTGTGGAGTTAAGCTCTTTTTTTAGATTGGATGACAGGTTTATTGACCGTAGAAATTTCAAGATGTCCTAATTATGGGGGAAGTTTTGTCAAAATTTCCATCAAATATTTAAAATTTTACAAACTTTATAATTATATATATATTATATGATTTATTGATCAGTATAATTTATCTATTGCTATTATAGCTTAATATTTGGATAATTAAGGCTTAAGGAATATGTGTTTATCTTATATTCTGTCCCAGTTACACCATTAGGAGTAGGATGTGACATTTGATCTCACTTTTTAACGAAACCATTACTCTCGCCAAAAAACTAGTTTAGTGGGGTGTGTAGTGCACCCAATATATGGCCATGACCCTCTCCAAGTTCCTCTAGAGTGGGATGCAACACATTGCTCTAAAACCTCAAAATAACCATGGATACCACTTAACTTTACTGTGCAAAATATCTGTTTGTGTTTGGACAAAGTGTCGCATTATTATTATTTTAGTTAAAATATGCTTATCCTCCCACCCTATCATTGATTTTCTTGTGAAGTTGCCTATGGGGGGTGTTCAGATCAAGAAACTGGGAAGGAAAAGGAAGAGAAAATTTGATTGAGACAATGTATTCAATTAAGTAACATATACTAAAATTTACATGTTAAGATTGAGATGTCATTATAGCTCAATCGATAAAAGGTATGCACATGAAGGGAAAAGGTTTGGGTTCGAATTAAGACAATGTGAAAATTAAAATATGTCACTTATATGGTGAGGACTTAGGATGGAGGTCAAAGTGACGATGATGTGGTGGTTGATGACAACGATGACAAAGTGGTGATTAGACTTGCAAATTTTTTTTCATTATAAAATAAATTAGTGACAAAAATCTACATATTAGTGACAGATATTTTCATAACTAAGTTAGTGATAGATTTTGCTAATAAGTGATATATAAATTTGTCCATCAATAATTTTAGTTTTTTCTAGTAGTGTATCCAAAGCAAGCTATGTATGCAAATCCAATATAAAATGCATGTTTTCCTAACTTGGGTATTTAAAATATGTACAATTATAGCAAAATATAATAAAATTTATAGAAAATGTGTTGAAATAACATGAAATTCTAGATGTTAACAAAACTCAATTTGAAAATATGGCAAAACCCGTGTAGAAAGTCCATTAATTTATTTTTTTTTCCATTTTTTAATTATTTCAATCTATCTAAACTTAAGATAACTGTCATAGAAAGTTATTAGAAAACAATTTATCGTAACTATGAAAATGCCACCTTTTTACACTATGCAAAAAGCTGATGTAAAATGTTTTTTTTTTTTTTTTTGTAATTGTGATTTATTTTTGAGATCAAGCCTGTTGTAATCATAATGCTTCAATTGAATGAGATGTTCAATGGTCACTATAATAAAGACGCCAATAAGCACTTGATATCTTTCTTAAAATCTTGTGATTTAATTCTTTCAAGCAAAAATAGTATGCCTCAAGATGTTTCTGGATTACAGTTATTTCCTCTTTCTCTGCAAGGCAATGATAAAGAGTAGTTTTAACAATCTTATCTCGAAGGTTATATTGTTGCTTGGAATAATCTTGAGAACAATGTAGAACTTGATCTTTCTTTGATGATAAAACTGTGGAAGCTTGAGAAGAATTTCTCAGCATTAGACAACATCCATGAGCATCTTTATGCAGCTTGAGAGAGATATAACATTTGATGAAGCAATTTCCAATCATGGGGTGGACAAATGGGTGGTAGTTCAAATCCTCTGTAATCATTGATTTGAAACTTTTTTCTAAGACCATGCTTGATTCTATCACAATTGGTGGATTTCATGATGTACTCATCAATGAGATGATTTGATTATTAGATCAATTGTTAGCAAACAATGCTCGAAAGACTGATGGAAGAATATACACAGGTGATAACCAGTTCCAAAAATGACTCTTCCTCACAAATTGCAGCAATCCTAACTGCCATGCGATGTGATGCATGGGAATCTCATGCAGAAGTGAAATTCTCAAGATGTACACTCTATTCATCATGCCATTCGATCTGTTTGTAATCAATGCAATGATGTTCACATACTTCATTTGTCCTCTTTACATAACCACTAAATCTATCAAATATATGGGCAAGTTTCAGCTCCCCCATAACAACTCTTTACTCTCAAATATATAATTCAGGATGGCGAAATCATCCAAGAAGAAAGAAAAGAAAGCAATGGGAGTTCCCACACATAGATAAATCTCCTAACAATGCTACAGGAATAACAAATTATAAGAATATAACATTACATAAATACTTGATTAATTAAAGTCAGACATACAACTTATAAGAAAAAAAAGACTGACAAATAATTTATTCATTACATGCATATAATCGTAGAAATACGTGTCATATGTTGGTTGCTTTAAGTTTTTTGGTCAAAGATATAGTGATATTGAGGAACATAGTTTTTTCCTTAGACATACAATCAGCTAATATATGTTGGTAACGGTGAAACACATCGTCAATGATAGCTTCTCCAAAGTGGCTCACAGAAGAGGTTCAGCCACAGCTCTCATTAATTGTCCAACTCTGTACCCACAATTATTATTATCGTTGAGTTCCTCATCTCCGCATGCAGCCTTCCAACTTACTTCAAAAACCTCCAAGTGATTCAAAGTGAATGAGCCTTCATTTTCAATTTCTACTTTCAATTCAGATGGGGATGGAGTGTAAAAAGGAATGTTGAATGAAACCAGCTTATCTTCTTTTATGATTCCCTACACCACAGGCCAAAACAAATTATTATTTTATCATATATCTTCACTTACATTCTTTGCATGCACTACATTTTTCTCCCCGGTAGCGCGGGGGCATTAAAATTGAATAAAAGTTAAATACCAGATAAAGATTAATAGTTTACAAAGATCTCAAGATATTTAATGGAAATTGAATCAGACATATTAGCTGTTAATTGAAGAAGTTTAAAGTATGTAACAACATACTTTTTCAACAGAGTCAATTAGTCATATACACAAAAGAATGGATGGATATATGAATTACTGTATTCGACTCTTTCCGAGTTTTGAATCAATATATAATCCAATTCAGTTCCGGTTTTAATATTAACAAAATCATCAACTTTCAGGGGATATGATTTTACACTAAACCGAAAAGAATCTTGCTATCTTATAAAGAAAGAAATAACATAAAAACCAAAAAAACAGTAACAGTATTAAAAAAAATAGAGACTTCACTCCTTGCACAGGAGGCATAAAATTAAATAAAATGGTTAACATGCATTTTTGCTCATCAACTCAAGAATATCTAATATCTTAAACTTATATGCGGTACAAATTTTCTCTTTCAATATTTGAAAATGGTTTATTAGATACTTTGCTATTAAAAAAAGTTAACTTTAACAATTAATTGACTTAAAAAATTACAAAAAAAGGACATAAAAATTTCAGAAAAGAATCCATAAAATTGCAAATGAATACCTTATATGAAAATTAATATCGATTAAATTTCTAAAATAATAGTTGGTCAAAATCATATTTTGGGCTTTTATGTGGGTAAAAAATAACATTTGTATCATATTATTTATATATAATTTAGGAAAATTATTGATATGGTATTCATGTGCAATTTTATGGGTCTTTTTCTATAATTTTTAAGATATTTTCCCACAATTTTTATGTCAACTAATTTCAATGGCAGGATGCTTGATACACCATTTTTTAAAATGTTCAATGGAGAAATTGTACCATATGAAAGTTTATAATATTAGATGGTCTTGAGTAAATAGTTGAGGGGGATAAAAATAACCTTTTAACCCTAAAAAAATTAATAGTAATTACATCATAACATGCATGTACCTCCAAGACCATGTCATTAAGTGTCTCAGCTAAAAGCTCCCAAATGTAGCAAGATTCATTGCTTGATGGGTCACAACTGTTTCTTCCCATAAGTGTAAGAACTAAGCGACCTCCTTTAATTAGTTCCGTAGCACGACATTTCAGAAACATTGAGAAATCTTTTTGAAACTGGTGGTAATAAGCTTCACGGACATTTAAAGGGCTTGTCCTTGCCATGCAAATATTGCCCTTATTTTTCTCCACACCTTTGGGAACCTATGGAAATGAAATGAGAAAAATTAGTTAGAGGAAGAAAAATTATACCTGATATAATGTTAAAAAGTGATAATATTACATAGAAATATATATAATAGTTATATTTTAATATGAGCGACTGTCCCTAAAAGGTATAGCTATGTTACCCAAAAATTAACAGTCACCCGCTAACTAATGACCAACGTAACAGTGTATTTATACGAAAATAAGAAAGGGAACATATAACTTTTGACCCTTTAATTATTGATCTTGGTCCTGAACTTTGATTCAAAACAACTCAGTCTCTATATATAGTGTATTGACTTAGTACACCTTATTCCTTATAGTTTGTTGACTCAGTACAATTTAGTTTCTATAATTTACTAACTCAATAAACAACAAGAATTCAATTATACTGAGTCAAGGTCTAGGGACTAAAAATTATATTATTTCCATTAAAAATAATTGCTTAATAATCTTAGTGGCCAAAACACTACTAAATAGTATTTAAATAAGATTGTTTAATATATGTACCTGAGACAACCAATGAAGACTATAGGAGGAGTGGACAAAATGCAAAGAACTAGTTGGAAGAATCCTGCCATAAAAAGAACTGGGAACCCCAGTGATGTAGCATTGACCACCAACCCCACCAACAACTTGACTGCTGAACTTTTGTTTGAAGTATTCGACAGACTTAAAGATGCTGTTAAAGTCATTGCCAGGGAGATCATTCAAGAAGATGATGTATTCTGGAGATTCATGAGTTTTCTCTCTACAAAGCGTCTCCACAGTTTCAATGAGTTCACAAGTCGTAAACAAAGAGTTTGGCCCAGAAGAACAACCCAAGTCTGCAATTGCTAAGCTTTGAGGGAGCCTTTCTTTGTAGATGCAAGTTATGGCTTCATCTCTGATTGGCTTTGTTAAGGAAATCACCTTTTGCTGTCCACAACAATCATGTTAATAAAATATATATACATTATTAGTAAGTATGTTTTATTATTTTTCTTGTACATTCTTGAAGACATGCAAACAGTTGGAAAGCTCAAGAGGATTTGATTATGAAGGTAGCTAGGTATATACCTGTAATAAGGAATTATTAGCATAACTTGCTTCTCCCATGCCTCCATTCATATGCAACACTGAAACCACGTCCATTCTTAGATTTATGCTTCTATAACTATGTTCTTCTTACTCGTAGAATCAAATTTTGTTGTAGTGGCCAGACCAAAACTGATGGTGAGATTTACACACACACACACACACACGCACACACAGGAGGAATGGTGATTGACAGTCCTAAAAAATGAGTGGCTCTTGCCTGTGAAAATGGATCTCCTCTGGTGGTAGGATCTTTACATAAGGGGAAATTTATTAACAGAGTCGCCCACAATAAAAACGTGAAGAAAACAAATTAAAGAGGGTGATGTAATTTCAAATAATTATGATTTAGAGAAGATTTGAAATTACAAATAACTTACAAAAAATATAGATATGGATTTATAAACAAAAAAAAATATAGATAGAGATTTGGACAAATCCAAAAACTTATGTATGGCAAGATAGAGAATTTGGTTCAAATTTAATTTCAAATTGTCATACTTCCAAATGTACCATAAAGGACTTCACTAATTTTTCTTTTCTATAATACAATAAAGGAACTATATTCCTATTTCTAAACATAGTTTGGCTGCTTGAAAATGCGCTAGCACTAGTAGTCCACGATCCAATTATATATTATTGTTATATATAGAGCAGGTCCTACACTCCTACTCTAACTTCTCATCATGTGCAAGAAATGTTTGTTTAGTTTTGGAGAGCTATCGCATTTAACCATGTTTGGCAAAATAGCTCTCAATTAACGAGAGTATCCTCACACTGCTAGCTAGAAAACAGCAACTACAAATTCCTCGCGAAATGGTTATTTATTCTTGCCAAACTGGAATTGGTGAGGAATAAAAACACTTGTTAATTTCATTGCTAAGAAAGGGCCTCCCTAAATTTAGCTTGCTAAATTTAGTCGGGGTAAATTCCTCCCTAATCAATTTCTAAATAATTAAATTTAATAAGTCACGTGCCATGTCACCCCTTCACAGGTGCCACATCATGTCATATCACTCCTTCACATGTGAATGGATATATATTCATTTAACATGTACCAACCAAGGTTAGAAACTATGACTTGAAACTCCTCATTGTACCCACCTTTTATGCCCCTTAATCTATAAAGAACATATACTTGAAACTTTTTTATGAAAACTTATATATATACTATTGAATTGCATGTTCACATTCACTCTTTTTTATAATTTTAATTTTTAATATATTATATATTATCTAACTGAAGGAAAATTTAGAAATATTAAGGATTAATAAATTTTTTTATCAAAGAATTATTTTATCAAGGAATAAAATAGGTCTCATTATTATGGTCTCTAATTTATTTGCTAATTAGAGTGGAATAAAACATGCCTCACTATTTTCCTTACTAATTAAAGAGAAATAAACCAATACTCACTACTTTCTTTGCTAATTAGATTGGAATAAAAAATCCCTAGTTAATTGAGAGGAATAAAATGTGCACTGCTAATTTCCTTATTAAAGTTAGTTCAAGTTACAAAATCATTGTTTCTCCCTAATTTCCCTGCCAATTCATGCTTTTAGTAAGGAAATAATGATTTCTCCTAAATGTTGTTGCAAAATCAAATCTTTCTAATAGTGTGAACAACACTAATAAGAGTGAAAGGAGTAGTGCGGATGGAGGTGACCAATATTTCTCTCCTCCTTCAGTGTCCAAGGCTTAATTCAACGACGTAGAGGTGGCCCGTTACATAGAGTAGGTGGCATTTGAGACTTGGGATACCCTATCTGTCTTGATGAACTTATTTGTTTGCAAAAAAAAAAAAAAAAATGCTGAAAGCTGTAATTTTTTTTTTTTAAAAGTCGCATAGTGTCTATGTTGTTTGCACAAGGTTTTTGCTTAGAGCTCCTTGTTAGAGCTGATTTTATTAGTTTGTTTTGACTTATTTATGTAGAATAGTAGAAGGATGAAAAGTTGTATGCATGTTTTTTCCCCTTAATTCGTTTAGAGACCCACTTAGCTTCGTTAAACTCATTTTGAGTAAGATATTTTACTTTCAATTATTTTGAAACCGATTTTCTTACATGTCATTTAGCCAAATCATTCGTTACAGCTTAGGCAATAACAGGAATAGCATTGGCAATGGCTTTAATTAATGTTTTCCTACTTGCAAAAGTTAATAATCTTTTATCTCCACCCATTTTCCCTTATTTTAAAGAGTTAAGGTCCATTTTTGTTTTTGAATTATTTTCATAGGAACACCAAATGTCTTAAATTCTTTGTCATAGCAATGTCACCCTTAAAGAAATTAAATCATGACAATGATTCCCCTGACATTAAATGGGCAAACGTTTGACGTTAACTTTTATTGACTTAGACTTAGCATTAGGGACAACATTGATATGATTTAACTACTTTAAGGGTAATATTATTACAATTTAATTATTTTATGGACAATATTGTTATGATTTGATTCAAACTTATTCTTGAGTCAACAAAGTTAAAAATTAATGATTGTTTATTTAACTAAGGGCAACATATAATTTCTATGATTTAATTATTTTATGGTCGACATTACTATGGCAAAATTTATGACACTCGGTTTTCCTACAAAAATAGTTCAAGAATAAAAATACATTTTCATCCTATTTTAAATACACTTTGATCCTACAAAAATAATTCAAGAATAAAAATATACTTGCTGCATTCTTGAATTAGTCTTGATCTTTTGCAAATACTGTACGTACTTGCTTTTCCATATATAGTAGACATGGAGGCAATTAATATTACATCTGACTTCTAAGGCAATCCTTTAAAACATTGAACTACTCAAAAGATGGGGTTCCCTTACCACAAAAATCATGTGATTGAATATAGTGCCTCCAAAATGTGAGGTAGACAACTTCCTAACATTATTCCATTACCAATTTTTTTAGGTAAACCTAACATGCACGCGTCAACTTTAGCTTTTAAAAACTATGCATGCAAGACAATTCACATAGACAATTTTTTTGTCACACTTTAGGTCAGGCAATAACACTATCTCCCATAATGTAACAATTATTAAATAAAAATACATTACTTTAATATTACAACTACATATTTTAATCATAGTTCAGCCAATGACTTGTGAATCAATACCTTGACTAGATCAATTAAAATCAAATAGAAACAATCCTAGAATGAAAAATGAAGACCGATGAATAGTTTATTCAATACAAATTGCCATTATATTATAGAACCATATATGCTGACTTCTTCTAGTTGCTTTGGTATCAAAGATATGGTAAGAAAGACAAGCACAGTTTTTTCCTTCACCATACGATCAACTATTATATGCTGGTAACGATGAAAAAGATCATCCATATAATAGCTTCTCTGAAATGGCTTCCAAGTAGAGGTCCCATTGCAGCTTTTACTAGCTGTACAAGTGCAGCTTTGAATCCACTGTTATTATTGTTGGAAATACAAGAACAAACAAATTATCCATAAATAATTTGAGTTTGGGTTAAAATCATACCAGATCTGTTGTAGAGAATTTGACCTTAGAACCCATGGCGGGAAAAAAACCTACTGAAGTCTTCTCTATGCAACAGATGTACCCCGAAGAGAGAAAGAGAGACAGAAGAGTTAATATTAGAGTGACTATTTGGTGTGTCTCTTCTCTCCACCTAGTTGTCCCTATATATAGTGTAGGTGGCTGAGTTAAATTGGGGAATCATATTGTGGTAGATCAAATCTCTTCATGAGATATTGAAAATTATAAGATATATATATATATATATATATCCCAATATGATACTCCCTTAATCCCAAATTATATCACAATTTAAGACAAGATTAGTAGGCATACTAATAAAGCTTAATAATGACATTTTACAAATTTATTTTTCAAAATAAAAAATAAAATTTTAAAAATGATTTTCATTTAATATAGGGTTAGATGGAAAATTGACCCTTAAACTATAAGTTTAGGAGTATATGAGATTCTAAACTTTTTTTTTAATATAATGTTTCTCTTCAACTTTTAAAAATGGTGATATCATGCCCCAAACTTTAAGGTGTGACTGGAATGAAATATGCGTAAAATTCACATTCTTAAAGCCTTAATATAAGAAACATTTGATTTTAATCACAACTCATTTATCATACAAAATAGAATTTTTTCAACACATGTATATTTTAAACAAAATCATGAACTTAGAAATTTCAATAGAATCTCATCTAAAAATAAGACTTTCTAACTCTACAACAATAGTTTTTACCACAATATAACAAATAGGGAGCTTTGCTTCTATCAGCAAACCAATAATATAGATAGTCAAATGAGGATCCTAATTATAGTTTATGTGGAGCGCCTTAAATAAGAATTACAAAACACGCATTCATAATTCAAACTTTACATCAAAAGATAAATAGTCAACTATAATGATTCTAAATTTTAAATTAAATAAATTTCTCTCCCAATTAATATTTTATTTAATTGTTAAAATTTTATAACAAGTGAAGAGTGGTAATTTATTAAAATTTATACCAGTAATTTTCTTGAAAATGTAGAGTTGAATTCTACAAGGCAAAAAGTTTTGGTTTCATTTTGTTTTAAATTATAGAAAAATTTTATTTCCTTTCTTGTAATTTTCTTTGTACTTTTTCTTGTAACTGTCCCCATTTTTCTTTTGTTCAGATTTTATATCTCTTGTGCGAAACAGAGCATCGGATTCATCTCTGTTTCATCTTTCTTTCCACCGTCAATGTACTCCTTTGGCTCTTCACCGTCGACTCATGCTTCTAGCCCCCCTCATCGGTTTCAGCTGCTCACCCTCGGTCTGTGCTCCTTCCTGCCATCGCATCTCCGCCATAGAGTCATCAGATTTTGTTCCCGTCACTGTTCCTTTTTCCTTCTCGGTCCTGTGTCGATATGTGGTGCGTGTGGGGTGCTCGGTCTTCATCTCTTCCTTCTCTTTAGTTGCTGGCCGTATTGTGTGTGTGTGTGTGTGTGTGTGTGTATGGTAAGCTTGAATTCTTCCCTTTTTCGGTTTGT